ATGTTTTTAGCACAATAATCATTATGGTAATCATGCTCATAATCAACTACAATACACAAGCAGTGGCGGAAACAGAATGGATAGACTATTTTTATGTACTTTACGTTGCTTCTGAATAATCTGGTGTGTCTCTGCCCAAGCTTACATGCAACCAGAACCCCTACTGGACATCTGTAGTCTACATCTGCGTCCCCTCACGATACTTTCGAAAGTAATTTAGATAAGCTACAATAGAAATAAAATATGTCACAAAAGTCGAAAATAGCCAATTATTCTCATTGTACTAGAGAGTGTGCTAGTTTTTATAAATTTGACATTGCTGAAATGTCAATAATGTTTGAAACCAAATGAATGGAAAATTATTTTTAAATATTTGTGAAACTAGCACTATTCTGAAAATTTTGTGAGATACGTATAATAACTAGTATTAAAAAATATTTACAAGGGAGTCTTCGCTTAGCCAATACTTACATATTTTTTGCTTTGAGTGAATTGGTTTCTTTGCTCTCTTTATATAGAATCTATTAATTTAATTGCCGTTATTCATATTATTGAATAGCTCTTATTTCTTTCATTCTTCCCCATTCTTTATATGAATCATAGAGCACTACTTTCAATATTGATATTAGGATTTTCCATATAAAGGCGTAGCTTGAAGCCGAGTCTCGTTTAAGTGTTCTCTTTGTCAAAGAATATAAGAGACGATATTCACAATATCATATTTATTAGAATTTATTGCTTGAGAGTCACTACAACTATTTAAAGAGCAATACAATTATCGTGAAGGATGAGAATAAAACAGGAATGCAAATACAATTAAAGATCGACAAAGAATACCTCGTGTCGTAATTACAACACTACACCAGGTCTATTGTATCAGAACTTTCTTTAGTAAGTATACGTAATTGAAAACATGTTGTTGTGATTTTATGTTTTTCGTATCAAATTGGAGTAAAGTTTTTATCAATTGAATGACCTATTTTGTATAACTCACATATTTTCGAAACAGAATAGTAAGTGTAAGTTTAAATCAAGGTTTTGTCGGCTTTTCTCCTCCTAGATCCTAGTAATCAAGGCGTGAGTGTGGGTCTGAAGCTATGTGTAATGTTTCGCCATGTGGCGATGGTGTGGATGTACAACAACAGAAGATCCATTCACACTCTCCGTCAATTGATTCAAGTATTTTTGTTCGAAAGAGAATATCAGAATACAGGATATGACACAACTCTTTTAGGGTGCGGGTGTGAGTGTGATTGAAAAGAAGACGATCACCCACACCTACACCCTACTTTACGTTAACTGAGGACACTGTATCAACTAATCGTGGGTTATATACATCTGATCCAAACACCACATCACCAGGTGCGAAATTCAAGCGAGTTCAAAAGTATTCTGCTAAGCTTTTGGTTTGAATTGCTGTACCTCAAAAAGGCGTCTTAGAATCACTTTTTGCACAACAAAAGCGAGAAATCAATAAGATCACATATCTCACACATTGTATCAAGGAACATTTAATACCTTTTATTAATACCTGTCACAAAACCAACAAGGTTTTATTCTAGTCTGATTTGACAACAAGCCATTATGCATCAAGTGTAATTGAGTTTTTAGAAAAACACAACATTGATGTAATGCCAAAAGGAAAGAATCCTCAAAACTGTTCTCAGGTACATTCTACTGAAACAATTTGGTGGATTTTGGATGACAAAGTGTACACTAATGGTTGAGAAGCAAAAACTATTGGCCAGTTGAAAACAAGAATAAGTCAAAAGCTGCAAAAATTCGATATGAAGTTTGTACAAGTCATGTTTTCGTCCATCGTAAAACAACTTCGAAAAATCGCTAATAAAGGACCATATGTAGCTTGCTCATTTTGATTTTTAGAACATCTCTCTTTGCACTTTCTTTTGATATTATTTGTCAAACAGTAAGGCTTTTGCTAATAAAGATTTAAGAAAAACAAATTTGTGCCAAGACTTCCGCGCCGTAGGTTGCATGGGAAAGAAAGAAACTAAAGTCATTTTTATGATTCTAATGGTCTAATAAGACACGGCATAGCTAATACGGTAACTAAACAAAGAAATCGATGCGGATGTAGATCAAAATTCCACCGATATATACACGCCCACACTAACTATTTTAATTACTAATCCAGTTTAGCCTTAGCACTTTGGTGATGAGTTACTTATGTAACTTCACTGAATAATAACTTAAAGAAAAAAGAAACAGAAGAAAGATATTTCATATTCAACTGTTACCTTGTAGCAGAGATGTCCATCGCGGCTGAAAATCTGCCGCTGCCGCGCCGCGACGGTTTATAAAAAAAGTCGTCGCGGCGCGGCAGCGCCGCGATGGTCTATAAAAAAATGTCGCCGCGGCGCTGCCGCGCCGCGATGGTCTATAAAAAAATGTCGCCGCGGCGCTACCGCGCCGCGACGAGTAATAAACTTGCCACTGCCGCACCGCTGCCGCGCCGCTGCCGCGATGGTTTTCAAAAAAGTGTTTCGAATTTCACTACAGCAACTATATGGGACCAGAAATATTGGTACTAGTTCCTCAGATTCATTCAGTCTCAGAGTGTTTCCTTTGTAAACAATGAAATTCTATCAAATTCATGCAGTTTTCCAATGTCCTCGAAAAAAATTCTGTCGCTGTCGCCCCACTGCCGCGATGAATTTTTAAAAACTTTGCCGCTGCCGCGTCACTGCCGCGATGAGTTTTTGAGAAACCTGCCGCTGCCGCGTCACTGCCGCGATGAATTTTTGAGAAACCTGCCGCTGCCGCGCTGCCAACCGCGGCGGCGGCGCGATGGACATCTCTGCCTTGTAGGGTAAGATTGAATATTTGTTGAAGGATACCAGTAGAAATTCACTCCTATTTTATTTTCTAAATTTAGATAAAAAGTTCTGCATTATAATAGGGTGTCAGTCTCGGATGCAAGGACCTAGATCTAGGGTTCTTCGTAGTGAAATAATCGTCAGTTTCTGTTAACCCTGTTGTTTTTTTCAAAGCGATTTCAAAGAATCATAAAAAATACAGCTATCTATACAAAATAAAGAAAACAAAAGATTTAGGTTTGACTCGCCGTCAGAAGTAAATCTCCATCCTAAAATGCACAAAAGCTTGGAAGATAATAGAACAAAGATAACAAAAACAAATCTATTCTTTCCATTGCTATCAAAATAAAAGCACGAAATACGAACATGGTTGTTAGAAGAAAAGGAAACGAAACTAAGTTATTCGATTGTTCCTTTTATAAAATGCTCGATCACTTTCGCAAAAATTCCGTGATGAAAGAGAAAAATTAGACAAAACTCAGCCTTTAGATTCTTCTCAGAAAAATGTCAAGCAACACTCGGAATAGACAACTAAAACAAAGAAATTAAAGGCATTTGTTTTTATTCTATTGCTTTTGTAAAATCTTCGGCAACTAGTGGAACAAGTAGAATAAAAAAGAAGTAAACTAGCTTTCTCTGTTTATCTGCTAGAAGAGCGGTTAGAGTATTGATGCAATTAAACGAACAGTAGCCAAGCGAATTAACTTCCATTTTTCCGAGAAAGTTTACGATCGCTACGAACATAAATAAATGATGGAAGAGAAAAGTCAAATTAAACCAGCCGATTCGGGTTTCCCGTACAGCGGCGCACAACTTTAAGAATGAATAATTTAAACCAACAGAGAAAGCAAATAATTTGACGACTTAATTCCTCAAATAAAATTCCTAGACGTATCATGCGGACTAAATAATAAAAAGAAAATTCCAGTAAACTTTTTGGGTTTTCTCAGAAAGTGGTAGTCAGAGTGTGAGTGTGTGTGAGAATGAAGAATACTGTCACCCACACCCAGAAACAAGTTCAACAAGTTTTTATTCCATCCAAGTATTCGAAAAAAATCGCCTTGGTTATCCACACGCAATTGCATTCGTTGAATCCATTTATCGAAAGTTCTTATACTCTTATTTATTCAAAGAGTTCATTAAACCATCATTCTCATCCTCACCCTCACTTTCAAGAACAAAGAGAAGATCAAGACGGCAATACACATCGAAGACAATATGGACTCATAATATCGTTACATATCATAGCTAAACAAGTCTAATGGAAATTTTACTATTATAATATTAGACGAATAATGATCAGATAGTGTAGAAATATAGAGGAAAGTTTCCTCAAGACATCTATATGAAATTGAGATAGGACTACCACTACTTTTGGTATGCCTTAAGTATATACATAATCGAATAACGAAAACCGCAGCAGACAAAACCTCAGAAATAAAAAAGAAAGATAGAAGATTATGAAAATTTTTTAAAACAACTACTATTTACTTTCTTAGAAGAGCTCACTAAAAATTGATACTTAAGCTCATATGTAAGGTTTCTGGACCTTGTAATTGCTACAGTACCCAACTATCATAGATCTCTTCAATCCAGCATAATAGCTTAAGAAATTGGTGAAGTTCAAGGCAATCTGAGGAATTCATAGAGTTCAAAGTAAATCAAGGGTATCAGTGAGTGAGATTGATAATATTCTCATTCAATTGATTCAGAATCAATCTCACATCGCCATTATCGAATGATTTAAACTATGGGGTAAATTTATTGTATACATATGTAATACCCGGAGATGTCCTCAATTGCTTGATTTTCTTGGTAATCTAAAGGTATAAATATTTTAGTTTCAAACGTAACTTGAATTTTCTGAAATTGTCAATTGCCGAATCGTGTCTATATCTCATACGTTGTTAGTATATGATTAAAGACAGTGTATTACTGATGTCTCATTATAATAAATAAACTACTTCCTTATTACATTTCTGGAGAACTACGTAAAAGGATGATGAATAAAGGTGTCACAACACAGCTCTATGAGTGATAAGAGTAGCTAAATCATGTTGCACATTTTTATCCCGGAGGAATTGCGCTAATAGCTTTGTGTTTTATTTATATTTATTAAAAATTATATCTTGATTAATTACAGATAGACAACAAAATATATATTCAAAATGCGCCACCACTAATACCACCTGTAGCTGCTTGTGGTCCCAAGAGAATCGATCGTTGTTCATGACTGATTTGTTCAGCAACTTGTAATAATTCTTTTTGAATAAGAATTGGAAAAACAAGTACACACATTGTTGAAGTTATCCTAAATAAAAATCATTTTTCTTAAACTATAGACTAAATTCTCATGTTAATACTTACCACCAAGCAACTGAACGACCTTTATTATAAGCAAACTTCGATGTGTTAATTACTGTACGATTTATTGTTCCTACAGTATTTTGAATACTTTCTGGAAACATTTCTTTTAATGCAATAATTCTTTCAAGAATTGTTTCATCTTCTAATAATAAATCATCATCATTATCACCAACAGTAGTAGTTTTAATAGATGATGTAACAACAGAAGGATTAGTACGAGTAATTGGTTGCTGTTGTTGTTGTTGTTGTAGAATCATGGCAAGTAAAGCTGGATCGATAGATTCATCATTATTCATCGTTAAATTTTCAGACTCTTGTAAAACTCCCGAATCAATTAATTGTGATGATAAAATTTCTTGTATACGTTCTTCATCCATTGTTGTTCTTTTTGCTTTATCTAAAACCTAAATAAATCATTCTAATTTTTTTCTTTTTGTAAAATTATCTCAAAAAATATTCATAAAACAACTGATGGTCTTTATTTTCTTGATTGTAGTTGTCCATGTAATGATGATAAACAAAAATATATACTACTGACCAAAAGTAGTTATTCTAGATACCAAGCTGCACTCATTAGAATGATTAATAACGATGTTGAAAATTAAATACTACTTTGACTTTAGAACATCTAGATATCTACCATCCGACTGTCTTCATTTGGTCACAAATTCCTCATTCGTTAGCTAGTCATTTAGTCAAGTTCTATGTTTGTATTTGAGAATGATTTAATAGTCGAATAAGTTTTTATACAAATGAGAGATTGATAGTTACTGAAGAAATTTGATGCCGATATTGCAAAGCTCATTACATATTTCTAATATAGAAATCATGCTTGAATTCTTTGCAATTTCGAAATGTAAACTATTTCAGACCTTTCAAAAAAAAATCAGTTGAAACCTGTCTGAGTTATAGTCAATTTATCTGTAGGCAGTGATATGTCTGTAGCAAACGATTCTCAAATATAAACATCAACAAGAATACTCAGCGTTTACGAAGCTCTATTTATGATAAAATTTTCAGTTCTATCACTCAAGTTTTTGATTAGTAGTATATATCAGATAAAAAATTCTTTTCTCATTAAAAAAAAAATATTTATTAAACTACATTATGTCTTTGATTGCACATGTCAATGTGGATTGAGTGAAAAACAAATAATTAAACATTCTATAGATACTAGGTATTTTACGAAATGACAAGTTCAAAAACTACATGTTTAAAGAAAAATGAATGAATGATTAAAGTAATTTTGAAACTTGTTCATCAATTTGTATAGTTTGTTTATCAATATAATCGATACTATTTCGATCAATTCTATCGAAACTATAATAACGATAATTAACCATCATTGATAATGATTGTTTCCAACCACGTTCACTACGATCAGCTAACCAATTAAGACGCCAAATAACAGCACCATTACGTAAATGAAAATTTGTAACAGGATCTCGTGCATAACCTGTCTTTGAATGTTTTACTTGAGTTAAATAATATGCACAAAGATGCATTAATATTGGTCGAATATCATTAAGAATTTGTTCATCTAAATGCCATGTTGATGTTGAAAATAGTGAACGAAACCATGAACGTATTTCAGATGAAAGTATTGATGTTGACGAAGAATTTAATTCTTCCATAAGCCATTTACGAAAATCTAAGTGAAAAAAATATCATTTCTTTTCAAATATGTCTTTTGGTTCTCTACAAAACCATCAACTGCATGTCAGATTCGATTGAGTTATTACTAATTCAGATTATGAAAAATAGAGATTTTCAGAAGTTTGTACTTTGAAAGTAAGAATATCTTTCGTAACCACTATGTACCAATGAGCATAAAGAGAAAAGAATGCGGTTTACAAATTGAATACGAATAAATTTCTGTCTCGGAGTATGTTCTAAAGGATTGTCACCTTTAGTTATCTTCGATAATGGTACAGTCAATTATGATCGTTTCTATACACAAAGTATTACCAGTGCCTCTCAAGTATGATAAAGATTATTGATCTTCAAACAATCTTGATTTGAGTGTATTGAACTACTACATTTGAAAGATCCTCATTTTTTATATATGAAAATAAATAATTTTTCTATATCTTACCAGGAATTGGAGAAAGTGAAGAGAATTTTTCTAATTCTGGATGTTCAACTTGTAACTGTCGAACACAACGTTTAATTAATGCATTACCTAGTTCAATACCTCGAAGACCTAGATAAAAACAAAAAACATTTATTGATTAAATATTTTCATCTTTTTTTTTTAAACTAACCTGGTTGAGTAGACGAAATCGAATAAAATATTGCTGAATTAATTAATGATGGATCTTCATGAAGAATATCTTCAGATGTATTCGATACAGGTGAAACTCGATTTAAAACTATATGTAGATTAATTGAAAAATATTTATTTACATAAAATAAAATTAATTCTACTAACGAGTTTGAATTGAATCTGATATATTATCCACTAATGCAACATGTAAAATAACCAATGGATCATTTGGCATCATATGATGAATATAAGCAAAACATCGACTAGAAAATCCAAATATAAAAGAAAAAAAAACAAAATAATAAAAGAAAATCTCACCGATAATGTCCTAAACGTCGTTTTAAATCAGTCCAATTTCGTATAGGATGTACCGCTTCATATTCAGAGATACGTTGAACTAATATATATAGAAAAAAAAAACTTGTCAGCACAACTCCTTTCGAAACTAAGATGTGGCACTCACATGTGTTCTTGTAGTTTCATTATACTTATACAAAATATATTAAGTACAAAAATCAAAACCTATACTATTTAGAACATTGACAAATCTATTTTAGCCATTTAAATTTCGAAGAAGACTTTGTAATGTTCTAGAACAGTATTAAGTCTTGTTGTTGAAAAGATACCTGTAAAAATTGCAGACATCCATGGTTACTTTGGTTTTTACTTGTACAAGGTATTTACGTATATTTAACAATTATCCATTGATTACATTGATGTTTAATTGTAAAAAGTAACCATGACTGTCTACAGTTTTTACAATCACTCCAAAGGAAACGTACTTAATGATTATTGGGATTTTTCTCTTGCTGCTGGCTACTATGACAAGAGTCGCAAAATTTACATTCATTATATTTTCTCTCGAAAAATCTAATGTGAGTTCTACAAAATCAGTATTCAAATCTCACCTATTTCACAAGGACTTTGCCATGTAACACGTTCAACTTCAAGTAAACCTGTTGTAAACCATGTAGCTAATAAATCACGAAGATTAGTACTCATTCGTTTAACATAATCAGGTGAATCTAAAATTATTTTTAAATAAATAAAAAAAAATAAAAACTAATTAATTTCATCGAAACCTATTTCAGGAAGAAATTCAAGTATATCAGCACGCATATGAACAAGTGAACGTACACCATCAGGTTGTCGTCCAATAAGATGAAATAATTCAGTATATTTTGGTTCTGTATATAAATGAATTCGTTCACAACTATCAACAAAATTTGAAGATATCATTTTTTGAATCTACAATGACGAAATCAATAATTGTTTTTTCTTTTTTTGCAAATAAAATATCAAACCTGTGATATAAAATTTTCTTCAGGTGGATGAGATTGTTTTGCTATATATTTAAGAATATCTATTTTATTATGTTTATCACTTATTTCATATTGATCAAGAAGTGTTTCGACTTTTTTAAAAGCTAATATTGGACTACGTGAACTCAAATAGAAGATTTCATTTAATAATGGTCGAACTATATTCATTATTATTTCTAAAAAATAAAGACAAAAAAATTTGATTGTTTACTAATAGAGAAAACAACATTAAGAAGACTTTATTTTCACTGATCTTTGTCTTTCCTTTTCTTTTTGAATAAATAAATAAATTTGAAAAATTAGAAAATGTGTTCATCTAATTAAATATTATTAACCAATTTAATAAATCAAATTGATTTGTATCTTGTATGGAATCCAATTCACGATCACTTGCTGATTCATTACATGATGCTAATTGGTAATCGTCACTACTTAAGATTTCCATCATTCTTAAAATCCCTTGAAACAAAAAAGAAAGGAAGAAAGACATAGATTAATTTGACTATCAAGTGCTAAACGATGAATATTAGAACTAAAAACCTATCCTTAATTGCCGAAGCTTAACAAAAAACAATTCCATGAAACTAAAACTGCCCTTTCCTTACAAATGTAAACTGAAGGTAAATAGTTTAAGAACGATGTATTTCTGAATTTTACTTTCTGAACAATAATATATACGACGAATTGAGAAAAAAATTTCAGTAGCTGAAATACTTTCCTAACAGAAAAATTACTTTTTAAATTTCTATTCAAAATTTTGGAAAACCAAGACCACTCCGAGCTCTCCACTACCTAGCTTCATTGAACTAACGGGTAGCGCAGAAGAAATTGCCAGCTTTTGATAGACTGTTTTCTAAAGTTAGACTGAATCAAAAAATTTCCTTTCTAATGTGAAAAGATAGAGAATTTTGTGTAGATTTTATAGATATGTTCTTTGCACAACTAGCATTTATCGTTCTCTCGTAGCATTAACGGTACTGAATACTACAAAAATTTCTTTCTGTTGCTAAGCGATGCAGAATTTTTCGGTGTATCTAGCGGTATTTTGATTTTTCAAGCTTAGTTGTTTCTGCTTTAAAACAACACAAAACATCAAGAAAATACTTTCGGCCAAAGGAATCGTACTTTCTGTTACCAATTTTCTCAAAACTTGGTTTTACAAAAACTACTCTTTTTATATCAACACATGTAGAATTTCAAGCTCTACAAAATATTCTTCATTATAAGAGCTGACTTCCTTTTTTAAACTAATGATGAGACTAAGATCTTTTGTCGGACATAAAAAAAAGCATTAAAAATGGACCACGAGGCATTTTTTGCAAGCAGTTTTTCGAATGACGAAATTTCATCCGCAGACTTGGTATTAGGTTTCGAAAATAGATACGTCCCTGTATTTTATAACACTGCATTTGTATAGTATATGCAGAGCCATTTAACAAAGAAAAATAACACGTTATTCTCGTAAAATGCTGAGCAAACTATATTTTTATGGTATCTAGTACCTTTAAGACTACAAGAGAAGGACAAATGCTAGTTGTGCAAAGAACATATCAATAAAATCTACACAAAATGCTCTATCTTTTTACATTAGAACGAAATTTTCTGATCCAGTCTAACTTTAGAAAATAGCCTATCAAAAGTCGGCAATTTCTTCAGCGTTACCCGTTATACTCAATCCTACAAAAGGCTCTAAAGCGTAAAACAGTTAATTTATGGCGTGTATTTAACTGTCAACTGATCTAGCTTTAGGTACATAGTTTTTTCTAAGATAATTCTTGCATTAAAATAATTTTGTTCTTTTGTCATATCAAATGTCCATAATGATTATATAGGCATATCAAGATTACTACTTAGTCGATATATTTGTTTAACAGGAATCGCTAATGATTCTTTCGACATTTATTGAATAAGCAGTTGAGCAAGTTATATAGATTGTTCATTTATTCGACGATGAATATTATATAAGAAATTGTTATTAATTCACAATCAGAATCTGTCCATTTATATCTTTGTGCTCGAACTTTTTTCTTATGTGTATCAAATATATCTTAAAAAAAGATGAATTTATTATATTAAATAATGAAGATCAATTATTATCACATTAGCAAAATATAAGAGCAAAAAACAAATGTTATTAGTAAAAATTGAGATCACATTTACTAGTATCACATCATTAACTTATTTTCACAACAACAATAAAATACAATATTGTATCTATGGAATGTTGTCTTTTTAGTTTAGAGAGGACTTTGATTAGAAAATGGATTTTTTGCTGGTTTCTTTCCAATACAAAATACATTAAAACCAATGCTCATTAAATGATCATGATCAAGTATAAGTCTTCCATCAAATATATAAGATGGTTTTTCCATTGTACTATAAATTAATTGATAATCTAATTTCTAAAGATAATTAAAAATAAATCAAATTGAATAAAAAGAAAAATATTATTAAATAGAATTTACCATAAATTCATCCCATTCAGTACAAACAACAATAGCATGAGAATTTTTTGCTGCTTCATATGGTTCATTAGCTATTTGAACATGATTAGATACTAAAATTAAAATGATTATATCGATCATATTTATAGATTTTATAAATTCTAATCAATCAAATTAATAAAAAAGTTAAAAATTCAAATATTTTCTTGTATTATTCAATTAATCCATACAACAAGAATAGATGTCATATTAAACAATTTTGTGAAACACGCTCTATAAGAATTGTCGAAGTATATAGTGTAGACATTTGCACTCCCACAGATCGTATATCAATGGTATTAGCAAGCATTTGGTCTGTGGAATCCTTATCATGTAGTATTCGGTTTTTTTTTAATCTTTTCATATATAGTTTGATAAGGCGTGAGCTACTGATCATGAAAAACTAGTTTTTAATATTTATGGACATTTCTTTTAGACCACATAAAAAATCAAAACTTTGTAGTATATCGTTTTGCTTCATTCTACTTTAGAGCTTTCAAAAATAATTTTTTTCTGACTTAGCATAAATTAAATTGATTCTAATCTAAAAAGTGTATTAAAGTTGAACATCATTTACTTTTGTTCAATATTGCTGATGACTCATTCTCTTGTAAACTTATTTAGTTTTTACAACTATATGATGAAGTCAAATATTCTATTTCATTCGCTGCATTACACTACCACTCACAAAAGTACACATCACTTTTCTTCTCTTTCTTATTCTTTGTCAAGAAAATTTTTTTTGTTTTCTTTTTGAATTCTACCCATAATTTTCAAGTCTCTTCATCAAAACTAAAGCTTTTGTGTAATATGAATAATATATTCGAAATCAGCATCAATAACCGAGTCGACTGATATGTTTCTTTGATGAAAATTTCATTCATCGTTTCAAGTGAAAATTCTGAAGTCAAATGATGCTCAATTTTGTGACTGGTAGCATGATAAATCGAATGAGATAAAATATTTTTGACTTCATTATATAGCTGAAAAAACTAGATAGGATTTACAAGAATACGTCATGAACAATATTGAGGAAGGGCAAATAATTTTCAACATTAACACATTTTTTGGACGAGAATTAATTAGTTTATGCTGAATCAGAAGGAAAACTATTTTTAGACGCTTTCAAGTAGAATGAAGCTAAACACTTTTGTGTAATTAGAAAAAGATACATTTTTTTGAATAAAACGACATGCATGAAGTTGTAGGTTCTACACAATTAGAAAGAAATGTCCATAAAAATTAAAAACCAGTTTTCCATGATCCGTATCTCACGCTCTATCAAATCATATATGAAAACGACGAAATAAAATATTCAACTTAGTTTATTCTTTTTGTGAAACACGACCAGAGAGATCATCACAGATCGTGACAGAGAAACTGTAGTTTTGAAGCATCAAATCAACGGTGAGCTGCTACAAACCTATCTTGAAGAAATGGAACAAAACGATGTCCATTTAATTAGTAACAATAGGTCTATCGTGTTTCACATTTTTAATCCTGCAAGTGATTGTGTTAACAGCTTTTTATTTTTCGTTGTCAAAAATTTATCTTACATTCTCTTTCACTTGTACCAATTTGTTCAGATAAATCAAGAAAAATTCGATCAGATGATACTTTTGGATCATAAATATGTAATGATGCACCTTCAGCAATTAAATATCGACATACATAAATACTCGATGACTCTCTAAATAAAATAAAAATCTATTTAAAATTATTCTTCATTTCATTTCATTTCAACCGTGTATCAGCAGTATCTTTTTTAAAAGCAAAGCCAAAAATAGCGATCTTTTTTCCACTAACACTTCCAAATAAATTTTGAACAATCATTTGAGCAAAACGTTCACGTTGCCAATCATTTATTTTAATAACTTGTAACCAATATTGTGCAACTGGTTCAAGCTTTAATGATTCAGCCAAATAAATTAAATTATATATATCCTTTTGAAAACAACTACCACCAAAACCTTTCGATAAAAAGAAAATCATCAAACAAAAAAGCCAAATTAACAATCTTTAATCTATTAATTTACCAATACTAGCATTAAGAAATTTACTTCCAATACGTGAATCAAGTCCAACTGCTTTTGCAACTTCATCTACAGATGCACCTGTTGCTTCACAAACTGCTGAAATTGAATTAATACTTGAGATACGTTGAGCTAAAAATGCATTAGCTGCCTAAATTAAAAAAAAAAATTTACTCTTCAAACAAATAAAAAAAAAGACATAACTAACTAATTTTGATAATTCTGATGACCATGTATTTGTCGTAAGAATTTTTTCTTTTGGTATCCAATGTTCATATACCCATGAAAGTCTTTTAATTGCTAATGAACCTTCAATAGTTTCATCACCACCAATTAAAATACGATCTGGTGCTAAAAGATCATGAATAGCTGAACCTTCAGCTAAAAATTCTGGATTAGAAAGAACTTGATAATTAACACCACGTCGTTTATTCGTTTTTAATATTGTTTTTATTGATTCACATGCTTTAACAGGTACTGTTGATTTTTCAACAACTATTTTATCATTTGTTGCTATATGAGCTATTTGTCTAGCAGCTTCTTCAACATAACGTAAATCAGCAGCTCGTCCCTTTTGAAAAAAAAATATTTCTTTATTCTAATTAAATTAATCAACTTACAGTACCAAAACCATAAGATTTTGTTGGTGTAT